TAAGGGGGGCCGCCTAGGCCCCCATCGGTGTCCAGGGGCAGAGCCCTGGTCAGGGGTCAAGGGGGCGAAGCGCCATTGCACTCCAGGGTTTTAGAGATTTTTAAGCCCATTTGATGGCATTTCTCTACATCATTTTTTAAAAACATTTTTCAGAATCAATTACTGAGCTGTAAAAAAGTTGATATTTTTTCATATTCTTCATACATAGGCCTAGCCTAAATAGATACTGTAAACCAGAAACTTTCGCGAATTGATAATTTCGGCCGTTTTCGCGACATTAAACTTTCGCGAATCTCAAAAAGCCTAAATTTAATTCATGAGAGGAATATCATACAATNNNNATAGCTGAAAATATCGTATCGTGAGTTTAGGCCTAGGTTAGATAGGCCTACAGCCACTGTGTAGGCTACAGTATCTAGGCCTAGGCAGACTTAGGCGCCATAAGCCTGCAGCCTACCTCAGTTGCTAGGACCATGTCTTAGCTGGCTGCTCCCAGCCAGGCACAGATAAGAAAGAGACAGGTTTACACACATGTACTCACTCATATAATATTCCATAATTGTATGGTATTCAAGCATCCTACAAAATGAACAATGTTTATCAATGTTTTATTAACAAATTATTTTCCTGTAGGCCTAATATCGATTCAAACACATTGTTTGATAATGACTGAACATCGTGGTATGTCATATGGGACGGAAAATTAGTTTCCCATTTGAACTTCTTAATATACACTGCACAGTGGTTGCACATGTGCAATCACACGTAGTGATGATCAGAACCTCCTTGATTAGTATACTTACTGAGTAGGTTAGAATATGCCTAGAATTTACGAATTTTCGAGCTCAACATCGGAATTTAAGGTCAGAATATTGATTCAATAATTGAAATACATTCTTTTTAAAGTTTATACACATTTAATAAAATCCACCAAAATAAATTGAAAATACAATTTTTATATTGATGAAGTTGTTTACTTTTCAAAAACATGTTGAAATTTGTGGGGATTCACCATTTAGGACTATGCCCTACAGTAGATCTGCGTTAAAGGAAACATCTAAGGAGAGCAAAAAATAGTTTTAAAATTTACACAGATAAAGGAATGGATACCACATTGGGAAAAAATATTTCATGTGATGTGAATTGAGACGATTTTGGCTTGCTCTGCCGTTTTAATCATTGTACTATCTATGACTCTGAAATTGGGAGTGTAAACACCATGCAATATAGTTGGTTCGGCTTGCTACCTCCGCCACCGAGTGTAAACGAATTTGAGCCAGTGTTTTTTTTTGTTTTTTTTTATTATTTATCATTTCCGAAATATCTATGTCATCACAAAGAGGGCTAGTAAAACAAAAAAGAAATGAAAATAAAAGGTTCATAGTCATACACAAATTAATTTTAAAATGACGATCTGTTTTTTTCTTCTCCGCGGTAAGAAAACCCGGAAGCCCAATGTACGGAAAAAGAGTTTGGGCGATGTATATCGTCATCACCTGAGCACGTGGTGGAGGAGAAATTTTTATTATCTTATTGGCTAACATGTGATTTGGAGGCGTGGCTTCTTTGATGGACTCACCCAGGCGCGACTGCCGAACTTTGAACTTTAACTTTGTTTACGCCGCGAGTTCATGAAAGTCAAACATGGAGTCTGAAAATTGGTAGACATTTTAACTAACTTTCAAGAGAAAGGAACATCGATATGAGTGCATACTATTGCAAATTAACTTCGTGTCGGTAAATAAGGTTCTTTACAGACCTGTTGCGCTATTTATATTGGTGGTTTTTGTATTAATTTTTGTACAGCATTGATTGAAGTAGCCGGCGAAAACATCGTAGTAGCCGATCGAATGCGCCGGCCGCCGGCTCTTAAATAAACCCCTGAATATGTCTGTATAATTCCATATCTCCTCTATGTAAAATGGTAAATTTGGATCTAATAAGTTTTTGGGCTCTCTAAATACAATAAACATAGTTTTGAAAAGCTAGGATGACAGCCATTTTGAAATTCAAGATAGCTGCAATAAAAATCCTCAAAAATAAAATATTTTAGTATGTAATTCCACTTCTGTTTGTCTTTGTAAATATGGTGTTTCAACATATGTTATTTTGCTCTCTGAATCCAATATACATTGTTTCATAAATCTAGGATGGCAGCCATAATAAATAAATGAATGTTTACTTTGTATTTGATCTCGGTTTTAAACATGAGGGATTAACTAATAATGTAAAACTTTCAGATTATATATTTTTTCCATAACTGATTTTCATAAAATTGACCTAGCAAATCATAATAGTGTCTGATAATGCATTGCCCAACCAGGCCTTTTCTTATGCAGCATTGCATGGGTTAGTAGGTGTTCCTAATACTGTAGTTGGCAGGCTTCACCTTTCAAGTCAAAACCTTTGTTATGCATCAAGTTACTAATGAGTGAAATGTAAACTTTTTCTTCTGAAAAGTTTGTCTTTTGCATGAGATAAAAGGACTTTATTTTGTTATAATTAAAACAGAGCAGTAGTCTTGAGGAGTTTCTTGCATGGAAAGAGCACCTCCAGAAGCACCAGACATACCGGAAGCAGTTCTTGGCCTCCAAAAAAGATTATCCAATCTATACTGTTACAGCCAATACTCCAACTAGCGATGTCACCCTCAAAGCTTTAACACTGGAGAAACGTCGGCAAACTTTGAAGAAACAACAGTCATCACGTTTGCTGTCAAATCAGGACCGTGTAGCACAGTGGGTGAGGGACTCCTCAGCATTAGATGTGTGTCAAAAAGGTTTGTTGAAAAGAAAATTTTTTACAGTTGCATTGCCTTTTTATTTTATTTAAGATATTCTTTGCCATTTACTTTAGTAGTTACCAACATTATTGCATTTGTAGACCCATCAAGACAATGGTACAAGTTATCACAGACCCCCAAGTTCTCATCGTCGATAGTCCACAATCTGCGCAGTCCCAGCTTTTTGCGTAATAATGTAATTTGTTGAGGGGTCTGGCCTCCCACGAAAAAAATTGTTTTCAGATGCTCAAGGATGCAGTTTCCTAGATTTTCTTTATTTACTTTACTTTAGATTTTTCAGACTTTATTTGTGTGGCTATGAAAAATGATGATGATGATGATAATTTTCAATTTTAATTTATTTAAATTTTATTCAAAAAACACCTCCAAGAAGGAGAACGTCAAAAATTCAGACAAAATACAGAAGGAAAGCTAAGAAATATCGAATAAAAAACAATTCATCAACCAGATTAATCCAGAACAACAATTCATGAAATTGAATCCCATGCAGTACCAGTAAAATATCTCATATGACATCAAAAAAGTGATAGAATTCCTCTTAAGAGGTCACCATTATAATTTTCAGAATAATGAATGAGTGACTTTTTACACCTTTTTTTTTTTACAAAAGAGTGAGTATTGCTTTTAACCAAGACAAACTTTTTTGAATGAAAACAAATTGTCCCTACAAGTTGACATTACTCTGTTAATTATAGTACTGTAGGTGGTATCACCATTTGGTGACAAGGTCAAGTTCCATAGCTTTCTTAACGTCATAATCTTGGGAATTTAAAAAGCAGTTAACCCTCTGGATACCGGATTCTTTTGTAGTGCAAACCCTTGAATACCGGATTCTTTTGCAGTGTAACTAGGTTTTTTGCGTTTTTTGAGTATACATTGTTGTGGTGGATTTTTGAGAACTTTCTGTAAATTATACAGAAAAATGTTTCAAAAACAAAGAAAGCTTATAGAATAAGCTTTCATTTGATGTATAATTTATATTTTTAAGATTTTTTATTCATAATATAATATAATATAATATATATAATATACTGTAATAGAAATGACAGAAAAATGCTACATACAAATTGTCAGCAAAAAAGAAAAAAAAAAATTATAGCCAAAAAAAAATAAAAACAAATATAAAACATTCCTATTCCACACAGTTATATAATTTATTTACCCAACCATCCATAACTATAAGCATGATCTTTCCATTCAAAAGCAACGACCACCCTCACATTTCTAGGCCTAGGCTCATCTTCATCAAGAACATCTCCGCCGTCAGAACTGCTTGAAGCCCCACCGTCATCATCGCTATCAGGCACGTTTAAGTCTCGCACATCTAAAAACTCACTTTCATCGCTGTCTGTCCTCAGCTGTGTACACGTCTTGTGCGGCCATTTCGGAAAATTTTCGAAGTTAATAACGATTTCAAATTGATATTTCTAAACATTTTTATATGAGCGCATGTGAGTTCTTCACAGATTTCGAAAGAAGAAAGCTTCACGCATGCGTGTTCAAAATTTCTGACGTATTGCAGCTAAAATAAAAACAGAAGAGCGATTTGAAAACCACATATTTTTTAGTCACTAAATTTCAATTGCATTCGAAAATGGGAATTCTCGGTTTGAGGTCAATTTCGACTACAGTCGAAGACGGTATCTAGAGGGTTAAGAGCAGTTGTCTGTAAAAATCAAAGAAATTTCAAAATAGTGGCAGACTCAAAAAATGGATTTCTTTCAAATTTTGCACATGGCTATACCTTTGTTAAGAGAAATCAAAATATGAAGTTTTATTCATTTTGTGTGTATATTTCCATGGCAACGGGTAAATTTGTATTTTTGGCAATTTTTTCATTTTTTGCTGTTTTAAAAGTTAATATTAGTAATAATTTGATACAATATTTCTAATATCCTTATGGTTTATTCATAAAAAATAATGAGTTTGTGCATAAGGTCAATACATTGGGTATCTGTTGTATATTTTTACATGTTTTTTGGATTTCGTACTTTGGAGATACCATGTTTTTAAAAAGGGGTGTTTTTCTTTATTTTTTCAAATTGTGAAAACTACAAATAGGCAGTCTAATGCTCCCTTAGAGAATTCCAGTTTAAAAAATGTGGGTAATCAAAAAACGTATGAGCAGTGTTGCCAGAAAAACTGACATTTTTCATTAAAAAAAATTATAATAGTAAAATTTACCAATTTTTTTCCGCTGATTTATTCAATTTTCTGTTTTAGTGGTATTTTAAACCCTTAAGGGTTGTTATGTCACCAGTAGACACAACACAACCTGCCTGGGAATACCAGTCCTTAAAAAACACCCTCTCCTCCCTAACCAACATCCTCATCATCATCATCTTCTGTTACTGTGCATAACCTCAGTGGAGTATACTCGCACAATGTGTTGTACAGCACTCATATATGTCGTGGTCAAAATTGAAAGAAAAGGAAATAAATAAGTAAATAAATTAATTTAAATTTGTAAAAAAATAAGATATATTGCTTTTATAGGTTTCCCACGAATTGTGTACACACATTTACTGTATATTCCGGTGTATAAGCCGCACCTGTGTATAAACCCCCCCCCCCCCCCAAAAAAAAAAATTAGGACGCGAATATCACGATTTTTTGTGTCACCTGTGTATAAGCCGCACCTATTTTTAAGCTCCAAACCGTTCCCATAATGTGAAGTTTTTAATTATTTTGAAACATTGACATTATTTATAAATGTTCACATAAAGAAATTCATCTTTTTCGGCCGATTATTAAACAACAAACAACTGGAAATGCGTGTAAACTGCTGGCTACCGCCATGTTAACAACATATTCTTGCTCTAGGCAGACCTAGGGAAATCCCCCTTTTCACTAGACGGTCGTGCTACGTTAAATTTTCAACATCAGTTTAGTTTAAGTTTAATAAAATAAAACACTTATTGAGTTTATTTATCTATTTTAAACAATCATTCTATTATTATGTTGACTAATAACAGTCGGTATTAGGCTAAAAATATTGGTAATTCTAGGCCTAAGTCATTACTACTCACAGTCCACTGTGCGAAGCATGCACCATCACGCACCACGTTTTATAAACAAAACTCAGAACTGGAGAAATTGATATCGTGGATACGGAGTTCACGCATGCCCATGATGTATGCCTTTCTACAGTTAAATTCCAGTAAAATAATTATTACAACTTCATGAAAACTCGTGTTTTTATAGCATAAATTAATTTCACAAGTTTTTATTCTAAAATTATAGCGGTATCAATATTCTCTCTATAACGGTACAAGCAACCGGGAACCAGACGTCGAACAGCAAGTTTTACCAGCCCACGTGTGTTTTGTTGCGAAATCGAAAATGAAGCTGCTCACGTGACCTCGAGGACCCAATTAACTCCCGAAAAGTAGTTTGTTATTGTTTTGAGCGAAGCGGTTTCGAACAAAAACAGCGTTTTTCGAACAAAAACAGCGTTTTTCAAAATTGTTTACGATTGAACGTAATTATGAAAGTAATTATTTAGACAACCCAAACCATAATCGGGAAAATCGCATATAAAATTTGCGGCTTATACATCGGAATATACGGTAACTGGATTGCGGCGTTTGGTGACTTGGATGACGTTGCATTTTTCGCGATTGAATTCCATCATCCAGTCACTTTTTCCACAACTGGGCGCTGTTGAGGTTGTTTTGAAGGAGTGAGGCATCTTCAGCGCTCCTGATTGTCCGGTATATTAAGCAGTCGTCAGTAAATAATCTTAAATGAGAGCCTGATTGGATATATTCTTGTAAATTGTTGATGTATACCAAGAATAAGAGAGGGCCCAAAACTGTGCCTGGGGAACACCGGATGATACGGCTGATTATTGTGATTACTCGCCATCCAGTACGACTAGCTGGGATCTACCTAGTAGGAAGTTGCCAATCCAGGTAAGTAGACTGCCACATATTCCATAATATTGGAGTTTTTTAAGGAGTTGAAGACGTGGTACCTTGTCAAATGCCTTTGAGAAGTTTAGCAGTATCACATCCGTCTGTAGATTCTTGTCTAGATTTTGAGCCAGGTCCCTAACTGTGATAATTAACTGCGATTCGCAGGATCGAAACTTACGGAAGCCGTGTTGTTGTGTGCAGTGAGATGGTGCATGATCTAACTATGGACGATATGTTCTACGATTTTGCAACAGATGACAGTTAGGGATCTTGGCCTGTAATTCGATGCCAAATTTCGGTCACCCTTCTTTAAGACTTTAGCTGTTTTCCAATCCCAGGTAACATACCGCAATCCATTGAGGCCTGGTATAGTGTAGTGAGTACAGGACTGAGATGATCTGCAAGCTCCTTTAGAAGTCGAGCTGGTATCTTGTCTGGGCCTGCTGCCTTGTGAGGGTTCAGATTTTTCAACAACTTTGAAACCCCAGTTGATGATACGGGAATTGGATCAGGCCGAGTTCTGGTAAGGTAAAGCGTCCTCACCTTTGTTGAAAACAGAGCTGAAAACAGAGCTGAAAACTGATCGTTGACGATGTTGGCTTTGTCTCTGCTGCCTGTGTACATGGCACCTCTGGGTCCACTTAGGGGCGAGACACCGCTATTGTCGTTGCGCTCGCGAGATACGTGGCTCCAGAAGCGCTTTGGGTTTGATTTCAGGTCTGGGCATATGATATTATTGATGTAGTCATTGTACGACTCTTTACATATTTTCTGCATCTGTTTCTTTAGGTTTCGATACCTCAGCCAATTACGTTGTCTGTGGTTTGGAGGTCACTTACTGGCTTTGTTGTAGGCACGTTGTTTTTGCCTGCTCAGCCGTTTAACCTTACACATGATCCAAGGCTGGTTGAAACGAGTGGTTGATTACGAGGATACGGCAGAGGCTAAATTCAATGGTGATCCAGATTTCATCCACTGAAGATGAGGAGTTGTAATTTGTTGTGAATTCTTCCATCATTTCATGGCCGGCTTTATGAATCTTGTCAGAGTCTGTCTTATTCCAAAGATATATTTCTCTTCTTGGGCTTGATGTCGGTATTGATGTAGACAATTTCATGATCACTGATGCCAGGAAGGGGTTGACATTGGTTGATGGATGATGGCTGATTAGTGAAGAACAGATCAAGAGTGTTTTCTAGTCTTGTTGGGAAAGAGACAATTTGATCTAAGCTGGTCTCACTCATCATGGAAATAAGGATATTGTTGATTGCTTCCGGGTGCTGTCTTCCAGTAATTGAGAATTCATCCCAATCAATGTCTGGAAGGTTGAAGTCTCCACCTACCCACATAATTTTTTGTTTTGAGCGCAAACATCATGGATTGTACTGCATAGGCATTCCATGTACTCTTCATCTGAACTTGGAGCACGGTATTCAGCACACACAATAAGTGGCTCATTTATTTTTGAGTGTTTGAACTTGTTTCACAATCATTTGATAACTCTCTTGGTCTACTATTTAGACTAGATTTGATTTTGATTGCAATTCCTCCAAACCCGTCTGGGCGATCCTTTCTATATTTTATTTTTTTTCTTTTATTTTATTTCAATCATCCAACAGGAACTCTTCGTTCCCACTTACAGGCGAAAATTGTAATAAACATACAATAAAATCACAAGATATAAAAAGATAATTATTATAATTATTATTATTATTTCTATAATTATGTAATTATAAATTAAAATTGCTATATTTACAATAAATATGTAAAAATTACTAAAAGGTTTTTATAATTACAATTAAAATAACGTTTAAATAACGCTTAAAAAATTTACAAATTTTTAAAGTTTTTTTTACAATTTTTTTTACAATTCACAAATTTTTTAACTGCATAGGTGTTCATGGAATGCCTATGCAGTTCAATCCTTTTAGATATTGAATTAAAAATGAACAGAAATCTAAAGATAGTCTGACCAGTGTGAGATAAAGAAAGCGTTTACTAGGAATATCAAAAGATCTGCAATCGTGCAACATCATTCCCAAGACTCTGTTGGCCCTCGCCGTAATAAAATTAATATG